ACCACCCTCATCTATCTGAATCAGTATCTCTCCTCTACCCAAAGTCACTCAATATCAGGAGCCTGAATATCAGCCTGAATATCCTTGCCCTCACCCTTATTCATTCCTTCAGCAAATCCTGTCAGCTCCCAAATATACCTATGTCACTCCATCTCACAGTCAAATCACCACCCCAAATCCCTCCTAAACAAACTGCTCTCCCAAACTGCTCCACACAACAGACCTCCAGGGTGAGATTTTTTTTTTAACACAATGCAAACAAGATCCTGTCGCCTGCTGCTCAAAATCCTCCCACAGGGCTTTCCAGTGCTAGGAAAATGAAGGCCAAAGTTCAAACCTCCAAGGTCTTATGAGGCTTGGTTCCTGCTGCCCTGCCCTCTCAACCTTCAGCTCTCTCCTGGTTTTTGCTTGGCCTCCCCATCTACCTTTCCATTCTGGATATTCTACATGATTTCTCTGTACATGCTGTTTCTTCTGCCAGTCTTCTCCCCAACTCATCCCCATCCTACTGCCTTCGGCAGAGCTTTTGGACCCTCCTGCCCAAGCTGCTTCTAGTATAGTAGCTTGTTAGATGTTCCTGGAGTTTGACACTTTCCCTTTTGAACATTATGCTCAGTCTACACCATAGCATGCATTCGGGTGACTATGGGATTACCCTCACCCTAAAACATATACAACATACACAATTGTGTGCTTCACTAGAAGCTGGGTTTTGTTCACTATGGTATCCCCAATATCCCTACACAGGAAATACTGAATCACCACTTGTGGGATGAGTCATGGATAAGGGAGAGAAGCTAGGCATCTGCCTGATTATGGGCAGGGGGCCACAAATCCTGATTTGCTTGGGGAGACCCAGTGTTCTTTTGTTATCCATGAAAAATAATAATGGTGCCCTTGTTCACTCTAAAGTATTCCAATATGGTGACAAGTTACAGAATCAGCCCAGTTATTAGAAAGGGAAGGGTTCTGCTTTTTTTTGAGCCCCACAGTGATTCCACTTTCCCCCCAAAAGACCAGAGCTTCTTGCTCCTGAGATATTTTCTTCTTTTAATATTCTTCCTGTATTGCTCCCAACCCTAAGAAATACATAAGAATTCTGTTTGCCCATTTCACTTCAGAAGTGTCTTCCTGGAGTGTTGCCATGGTGATTGGATGATGTCACTGCCTTGGAAATGGTTGCCTAGGAAATGACTGATGTCACTTCTAGAAGATGATTTCCATGGTAACCATCTGGGTAGAATGTGGAGTAGCTAGGAAAGTGAAGAGTATGGAGGGCAGATGCAGAAGGAACAAATGTGAAGAGTGGAAGGAAAAGGGGAAGAGAAAAGTACAGGGGGAAAAGACCAAGAATAGGATTCAGACTACCCCCAGAGCAGTTGAAAATAATACAGAATCTCAGAAATGAAAGTTCCCAGAGACCACCAAAAGCAACAATCTCTTTTTTACAGATACATCCAAGAGGCGAGGACTTGCTCTAGATCACACTACTAATTTGCAAGTGTAAAGAGAAAAGACTTCAGTTGTTTTGTAGGGCTCATCAGCAGATTGGGTGGGGAAATGAAGGATTCTTGTTGTTCTTTTAAAAAAATTCTGACCTCAAATTAGTCAAATTATGAATAATTGATTGAATAAGAAATTCTTATTGTTCATTGTGTGTTAGGCCTGGAGAGGAACTTAAGTGACAATTTTACTCTTTGCTTTTTATTTTTTTTATTCCCCACTAGAGTGTTAACCCTAGGAGAACAAGACTCCTGTCTGTGTCAATTCACCAAATATCTCCAGCCCCCCATCCAATATGTACCATGTAGTAGCAGCTCAATGGGATTATTGAATAAACAAAGAAGTGATAAATGCCATTGTGTGGTACAGACCCATAGAACCAGTTCAGGGTCACACAGAAACTGACAGGTGGGATTTCATAGATTGAATTTGGATAGAGCAAGAGAAGAAACCCCTTCCAGAGGGAGAGTAAGAACTTGAGCAAAACACAAGAGCAGTTTGAACAAGTTGGATGCAGCTGGAGAGAGATTTCAACTAGTGGTACTTCAGTCCATATCAAGCTACAACTGTTATTGTATTACTACAAGTAATGCACTTTCTGAAGTGAAGGAGCTCCAAGTCTTAGGAGAAAGAATGGCATTAAGGTCCCCATTACAGGGTATGCCTGGGAGTAGGAGTAGTACAATAAAAAAGACCCATCCAGCTGGAGCCAATGTAAAGGAGAAAGTAATCTCTCCCCTTTGAACTACTATGTGACTTGGTCAGGCTTTGCATTATTCTTCTAAATTGCTATCCAGATCTGTAAGCGACATGGTATCAAAAACAACAAGAATCCTAAGCCAGGCATGGTGGTGGTACATTCCTATAATCCCAGCTACTCAGGAGGCTCAGGATTACAAGCCTCAGCAATTTAGTGAGACCCTGCCTCAATTTTTTTTTTTTTTTAAGGTGGGCAAGTTGGTCACCAGGCACGGTGGCACACACCTGTAATCCCAGCAGCTCAGGAGACTGAGACAGGAGGTTCATGAATTCAAAGCCAGCCTCGGCAATAGTGAGGCCATAAGCAACTCAGTGAGACTCTGTCTCTAAATAAAATACAAAATAGGGCTGGGGATGTGGCTCAGTGGTTGAGTGCCCCATCCCTGGCACTCCCCCCCCCCCACCAAAAAAGTGGGGATGTTGGAGATGTAGTTCAGAGGTAGAGCCCCTGGATTCAATCTTCAGTTCCATTAATAAAATAATAATAATAAAGGACTTTTAAGTCCTGCACAAAAATATATTCTTCCATTTCCTGTTTGACCTCAGGAAAGTCACTTTTTCTGAGCCTTGTAATTGGAGCTACAACCCAGATCACAAGAGTATTAGTTTGTAATTTAAACATATATTTAAAGCCTCACTCAGCAAGGTGATCAGCCCACAGAGGACAGAAAATGTTATTTACTCTTCCCTTTCTGATATAGTTTCTGTACTCCAGAATGACAACGAGTTGTGCTTTAGGAAATGACTTTGACAATAGATTCCTTCAACCTTTAGCTCATCCAACCTTGCTAGGTGCCATAAGGCTTATATTCCAGTGGAGGTGATAACATGCTGAAAAACTTAGAATAACAACAAAGACTGACCCCAAGTCACCTAGCAGTTCAAAGGAAAGAGGAAGCTTCCAGCCAGATCAGAGGATTGTAAATGAAAGTATTTCATTAGGTCTTGAAGGAAGAATTCCTAGGACTAATTTTTTCCAGATGGGGATCAAAATAACTATGGCATAGTTGAAATAGTCTTGAAGTAGGACATCCCATCTTTTTTTTTTTTTTTTTTTTAATTGCTCAGGCTGGCCTTGAACTCCTGAGCTCAAGTAATTCTCCTGTTTTACAGTTATATATCAGCGTACCTAGCATAATAGCCCATTTTGAGCTCAGCTTTACCTTTTAATAGCCATGTACCATAAGCCGCATCTGGTATGTGGTTTCCTGTTAAAAAAATATTAACATTCCTATCTCCTAGGGTCATTGTACAGATTCAGAGACCATAAAAATAAGTACTCAGAACATAGTTTGCAATGGTGGTTTTCATCAGCTAACCTAACTATGGGGCTATATAACAGGAAATGATTTAAGTCCCACTATTGGGCTATATTACAGAAGATGATTTAAGTCCCACTATAGTATTGATGCTTGAAATCCTAAGTGTTGGAGCTTGCCTGATAGTTGGGATTCCTAACTGAGGAATCAGTTCAAACTCTATAAGACATAAATACTCTAAGGGTGGATTGCAAGTAATGCATGGAGGACCTAACAAGTCGAACACAGCCTACTTTATCGTAGCGCCAAAAGGACTTGGGAGGGGCTAGGGTTGTAGCTCAATGGTAGAGCACTCGTCTCACATTGTGAGGCACTGGGTTTAATCCTCAGCACCACATAAAAATAAAATAAAGGCATTGTATCCATCTACAACTAATTTTTTTTTTTTAAAAGGACTTGGGCCTCCCCATCTCAAGTAATTTGACTAAGTGATTTATTTGACAAAAGTTCCATAACTAAGAATGCTATTCATTCCCCAAACTCAAGGAAATGGATATTTGAGCAAGGCTTGAGGAGCTACTGGAAACATGAAGTCATCAATTTAAACAATTTAAAGTACAACTTTGTTTCTAAGTGAAAATATTAAAAGGCTAATAAGTAAGCTGCCACATAGCTTAAGTGATGAATGCCTGTCTAACATGCCCAAGGCCCTGGGTTCCCCATATAGCACCAGAAAAACAAACAAAAAAACAAAGCATTGAAATCATCCCCAGAATGAACATCACATCCTTTTTTTTCCTAGTCTCAACCCAAAGGGCATAGCACAGTAAAAAGCATGCAAGGATTTAGGGTATCTGAATGCTATTCTAGGTTGTCCCTAATTTTGCTGTGACCTAGAAAAACTATTTTATTTCTTTAGACATTAGTTTACCCTGACCTCTTTATCATGCAGTAGAAAAGCCTTCCAGATTTAGGCCAAATGCAATTTATATTGCTCCCTCCTAAATTCTCTCAAGAACTCCATTTGTCACTGATGGGGCTACACTTTAATTATGCATAGTCCTACTTCTCTATACCCAATTTTCAGACCAAAGAAAGTGTCTGCATTACAGAGTAGTTGGAGTTGAAACATAATCCAAACCCTAGCCTTGACTCAGAAGTAGCATGGCTTGCCAAGGCTACCCAAAGCCTTGAGGTCATGGCTGTACAGTGATTCTTAGGCTCATTTACAAACATCAATTATTGGTTAGAGTGGATCACAGAAGCTAATAGCTGGGTTCACAGAAGACTATTTAAAAAACTCACAACCCTTAAATGTGTGCTACAAAATATGTAATGGAATCAATTAGATGGCAGGAAAGCTTGGATACCGTACTGCTGATACTTCAATACTTTGAGAGCCTCAAAATGAATCCAAAATGATGACTGGTTAAAGAGCTCCTTGGGAGAGGGAAAAAAAATCAAGACCACACACAGAGATAATATCCCCAAAGCAGCATTTATTTACCCTTTGAATTTCAAAACATTTATTTTATAAGTCTGGCATTTCATAATCACCTGTCTTGATTGACATGGGCTGACACACATGGTGCTGTCAAGATACACAAGGACAACTGCCAAAGAGTTACAAAAAATAAATCCATGATTCTTAAACAATTGCAACCCAAAAAAAAGAAAGAAAAAGTTACACATATCAAAACTTTAGATGCATTGCGTTTAAAAGGTTTGTGTACATCATAATTTAAAGAGGCAAAACAAGGTGCTACTGAAACCTCACATCAAAGTTTATTATAAAGCTGATGGAAAGGAGCAAGTTGTCTCTCTGTATCAGCTTTCCTTAACAGTTTTCCATTAGCTGAAGAAAGAGGTGAAAGGGCTGAATTCATTTTTGCATGCACAAGATGTACTGCTTAACAAAACACTATCAGCTTGTTTTAAATATCAACCATAGCCTGTGTTGGCTAATTCTCCTCTCTAAACTCCCCAATCACTTTTGCCTAGATTTGCCATAGATTAATAGGCATAGTTAAATGCCTCATTCAGAACACACTTCTTTGCACAATTCAAAAAGGGAACTCCTGTAGGCTCAAAGCAACCATCAGTCCAGCAATGCCCATGATGATTTATCTGAAACTGCTTCCCAAGAGACAGGAGAGCAGATCTGAGTAGCTGTGCTGCCAATACAGATAGGTTTAGCACTAGATATTTAGTGACTGTGGCAAGGAAGAATTGGTGATGATGGGAATGGTGGGTGAAGGAAGGGCCAGGGATCTGAAGGATCTTCAGTTGCCTTCTCCTGCTTCTTCATCCTGCTGGTCGCTCGTCCAGAGGGTAAGGTTGTCTCGAAGCAACTGCATGATGAGTGTGGAGTCCTTATAGGAATCCTCATTTAATGTGTCCAGCTCAGCTATGGCATCATCGAAGGCTTGTTTAGCTAAGAGGCAGGCCTGCTCAGGTGCATTTTGGATCTCGTAGTAGAACACAGAGAAGTTGAGGGCCAGGCCCAGCCGAATGGGATGTGTTGGCTGCATGTGCTCTTTGCTGATTTCAAAGGCCTCCTTGTAGGCTGCCTCGGAAGCTTCTACCACACTGTTTTTCTTCTCTCCAGAAGCCACTTCTGCTAAATAGCGGTAGTAATCACCTTTCATTTTCAGGTAAAACACCTTGCTCTCATACTGGAAATCATTGCAGTTCTTGATGAGGAACTTGTCAAGCAGAGCCAAGACATCATTGCACACTGTCTCCAGCTCCTTCTCAATCTTCTCCCGGTAAGCTTTAACTTTCTCCAATTTCTTTTCATTTCCATCAGACATGGTTTTCTGCTCAATGCTGCTAATGACCCTCCAAGAAGATCGCCGGGCACCAACCACATTCTTATAGGCCACTGAGAGGAGATTTCGATCTTCATTGGAGAGAGGTTCATTCAGCTCTGTCACCTGTAAAACCCCAAAGAGACAAACATTTGAGAGCTAAACCCAAAAATCTTGGAAAATTCTTTCTCCAACATAATTAACAATCCTTCTCAAGAAAGGACTTATGGACAAGCCAACTTTGGGGAAAAAAACATTCATGGGCAAAATCAATATACATCCCATCCAATGGAAGACTATAGTACAAAGTTAAATACTTGGAAACTCAAAATAGGAATAGGGAAGTCATATCAAGTCTTGAATGTAAGATGTTGCTTTCATCTTGGAAGGAATGGTGACAAGGATGATTATGGAAAGGGATAATCATGAGGAAGAAAACACTGAGACTTTATCCTGTTTGATTATTTTATCCTGTTTGATTATTTTCCTACAGATTCTCCCAGCCCTCCCTCAAGCCAAAATAAATGATGCATTAGTGACAGTGAATGTCCCCATCTCTGCTCAAAGGAAACAAAGCTACATAGCTGCCCTATTTACTAATCCAAAATCCATGCTCCCTTCAAATTCAGTTGAAGACCAGTGATACTCCCCACCCCAGTTTTCTCCTCTAGTAAGCCTTTAAACATTCACTTTTGCATTTGTTAGTAGAAATACAAAGAGACTTTGTAAATATTTCTAAGTGTTTTAAGGAAGCAACCCTTCTAAATCTAAATCAAAATTCCATCTCATTTTGACAAACACAGAATGCTTGAGTCCTATAGGCAAGAGTCAATAAAATAAAATATAAAGAACAGAATTTGAAGAGCTCCTTGGATTCTGCAGTAACAAAATCCAGGTAAGGCCACTACACATTAAAATGCAAATAATATCCAAGAGTCGCAATATATTTCATCCTGTGACTAATGAAGCTGTTTCTCTTAGACTGCTCTAAAGATTCACCAAGGTAACTTCCCAGAGTATATCATCAAGATAGAGTGCATATCTGAAATACATATATTATACAATGTAATTATCAATTACTGAAACCTAAGACATCTGGGCTAATCTAGCTAGTCGCATGTGACCTCAAACACAATCTTTCTAGGCATCGAAAGTAAAATGAGGATTAGAACAAATGATCTCCAAGGCCCATTTCAGCTTCACCATTTTTCCTAATAAGCACCAATAAAAGGTGTGGTAAGGCAAGAGGTTGACGATATTAATATAAGTGAAGTTTAGATATAATCTATAAGTTTTAGAAATTCATGCAAAAAATATCCCTTTTCCATTGTGGATAAATTGCTAAAAAATAAGTATTGGGTAATATTTATGATACCTTCACAAGAAAATAATTTACTAGAAGCATCAGTGTTTATGTAACAATCATCTGGTTGCCAGCCAGTCTCAATGAATCACTATCTGCATCAGCTGAGCGTGACTAACATAACTAAGTAAGCACTGTTCTTAGAACCCAAGCCAGATCTAACTAGGAATTAACTGGGTATGTTTAAATATATTATTTTTTAATACTGCCAGGTCAAAACTCAGCTAGTAAAAAGAAAATTTATCACTTGATCAGTTACTAAAAAAAACCCTGAAATTTCCAGATTGGAAATGAGACCCAAAACAGATTTGCAACTAAGCTTGACTGACAATACATACTTAAATAACCTCCACTGATGTTAGTTAGCACTAGTTGCCAACACTTCAAATACCAAAATATAGCAGCCAGAACAAAAGTTCAGTCCTAGGGGCTGGAGATATAATGTAGTTCAGTGGTAGAGCATTTACCTAGCATGTTGAGGGTCCTAGCATCATCCCTGCTCCCTCCCCACAAAAAAGCTCAAGGAGAAGCAGATACCTTACATACTAAATCAGCTGAATGATCATCTGCAGAACCTATGGAAATGAGATTTTGCACCTCTGCAATCACAGAGATATTTTCGAATTAGGAATACAAAGCAAAGACAAAACAAAGAATTTTAGGTAGAAGAGATTTAAGAACAGGGCTTTCAATCTTCTTTCCCCTCCAATACCAGTGTAATACTCATTTCCATCACTTAATCAGCTGCCCTCAGAGCAGCCTCCTTGGCCACTAAGTCTTCATGTGGTTCCCAGTCACCTAAGAGGTTGTCCCACTTCTGCTTGGAATCTCTGCTTTCTTTACAACTCCCCAATTTATTTTGTCCTATTTACATCCTTACTGAAAACTTTAAATTGACTAAGCCTTCCCATTTTATAAAGATCCTCCTTTCTATTTAAGAACTACCAGCCATTTTCCTGATGTCTTTACCACAGCCTTTAGCTATACCAACTCTCAACCCTGGGGGAACTTTTACCCAGCTTCTCTGTGCTGCGACTACACAGCATTACTGAAAGTCATAAATAACCCAGCCTGCTGCTAATTCATTTATCTTCCCATGACACCATTCGCTTACTCAAACATCCCCAGGGGCCTCCTCCAGCAACTCATAAGGCAAAAAACTATGTGTTTTTGAGTAAAAATAGATCCATGCCAAAAATAGAACAGTGACTATTTAGGAAAATTTTAAGCTATTAATCTGGGAAACATTCAACATCAAAAGTAATACTTACCAAACAAAAATGCCACCCAGACTGCCAGGCCATACTTCCAGTTAGGGGTAATTTTACTTGTTCTGAACACCTCTCCCATCCTTCACAGCTACACCTACCTACACACACACATTATTGTGCCATCATTTATAGTTACCTTGCCCACATTTTATTGTCCAGCTCCATTTTGATGTTGAGTTTATAACAGAAGAAAACAATTCTCCTGAGCAATTATGTTAACAAAATCATATAATGAAATCTTTAAGCTTCTTTGACAGAACACTATGTATTAAAAAAAAAAAAAAAAAAAGCAAGCCAGAAAGATGGCTTTTTTTTGGGGGGGGGGGGGGGCGGCTCTTTCCCAAGTTAATTCCCAGGAAGTGAGGCTCCCACTTGGACCCAAAGTAGCAGACTACTCCCTACAGGCCACTGTACAAAACCATCACCAGCCAAGGCCAGGCTGAGCCCAGTATTCTCACTAGAGTAAGGCTGCAAGTTCTGTCAGGCTACAAGATAGGCTAAATTTCAAGCTCAGATAATCAACTTCCACTCTAAGCTAATGTTATAAAATATTTACCCTCATTATCACTGAGACGGTCTCTGACTTGCTTTTGACATCATCAAACATTTTCACAGGGATCTACAGGGGTTAAATGCAACCCCTTTTGAAATGCATTACTGAATGCTACCACCCCTGGAGGCACCAGGATAGGCAGCTTCAGAAGTTGTGCCAGGTTCTGACTGCAGGAAGTGTCAACACCAAGGAAATGCCACTGTAGCAAGGAGTAGAAGAAGCACCAAAATGCTGGAGTGGAAGACCACTAGGGAGAATTTTACCTGCAATCAAGAAAATGTTATTTAGGGACCTTATAGGCTTACAAAATACTATTTAAAAAAAAAAAAAAAAAGATGGAGAAACAACTAGACAACTAGTGCCAAGTATATGAAACAATTTCTTGAAGTACAAGCTAATACAGTCCTATACTCATTTCATAGAAGGAACTCAAATCCAACTAACATTTGACTTATTAAACTAAAAAAATACTCCTGACCTTCAGAAGAATAAGCCAAATCTAGATCTGAGTTTTCCCTCTTATGCTTCTCTGGTATAGCTAAGACCCTTATATGACAGATTGTCTATAATTAAATTGGGTTAAAATTACCTATATTGAATAAATAAAACTGTTTCAAAAGCCCACTTGTATAAAGTAACTGGAATGTGTTTGTGAATGATGAAAAACGTTAATATACCTGAATATATACAGGAAACATTATCCCTTAGCCTCCTGTGGTAGTATCATACAGTGGTTACCATCAGAGCTATGAATTCCAAGTTCAAATCATGGTTTGACAACTTAAGTTTGTGAGAAAATCAAACTGAGTGTTATTTGCACAATGGAGTCAATATCTATCCATAATTGTTCAAAAAATTAAATCAGAATTTGCACATGAAATAACAGCTACCTAATAAACAAAATGATAAATTCCATAAACTTGCTAAATGTAATACAGAAAACATTGGGTATACTTCCACCCAAAACTATGTAACATTACAGAGGCTATCACTAATATAAAATCCCAAAGATAAGGAAAACACATTTTTTGTTTCTTCAAGGAAATGAGTAGTGGAGGTCTTGGCTATTTGGAAGTTCTTCTGAGGATAATTCAGGAACCCAAACCCAGATGGTCATGATTTCCACTTCAGGAAAACAAAGCCCAGAATTAAAAGTACCTTTTAATTCTGACTATTACAAAAAATCATCCAAGGCTTTCTTCCTTTTTCAGCTCTATACATGATAAGAGATAATTACATTTCAAGTGACCAGATGATAGGAAACAGAGCTCCCCTGGTTTTTATATATTTTAACAATAATGGATTTAAGCTTTCATACCACAATTTTGGTATACCTCAAAATTACCCTTAATATCTGCAACATGGATTATGTCTTACCCAGGGCCACTCAGTGGTGCTCTCCTTTTACACACCACCTGCTTATTTCCCTACTTCCCACAATCTCACAGCTGTTGGAATAAGAGCCTTTTGCCACTGGTTGGGCCAAGTGCTTCTCCCTGTCAGACTCTTGTTTCCCTAGCTGCGGATATGTTTCCTGCACTAAAGATTTCTGTAGATATTCTTCAAATCCTTTGAACACATTTCTTCCTGTCCTCAATCAACACTACGATCACGTCAGTATTAAAACATGCCACATCATTTCATACTTACTAATTACGTTTCAAAAGAAAAATAGATGAATTAGAGCATTAAGAGGTATGACTGGATTGTGGCCACCAATGCATACTCCCTAGAAATCTATCTGGTTACTTTCCTTCTTTTCTTAAATCACTTATTCTTAAATGTTAACATTTTAATCCCATTTATATTTCATAGTTCTCATAACACACAGTATTTCAGATATTTTACATAAGTTATAAATTGTGTAAAATCAGTCAGTGCCTGATCTAGGAAGGATTTGGTTTCTAAAATCTTTCACAATGTTTCTTCCCACTATTACACTGTATAGGTATGAGATAAGGCAAGCTTGGAGATACTCCTTTATTAACTTCTCTTTAACATTTCTTGCCTCTTCAAATTATGGGGTAAGGCAGGGAATTTTAGTTCTCAAATGATTTGAGGCAGCATCATAGCTTCCAATATGTGTGATTTTTCTTTTTTTAAAAAATATTTTTTTAGATGTTGATAGACCTTTATTTTATTCATTTATTTATATGTGGTGCTGAAAATCGAACCCAGGGCCTCACACATGCTAGGCAAGTGCTCTTACCAATGAGCCACAACTCCCAGCCCTGATTTTTCTTTTTTTAATGCATGATTTTCATAGTTTTTTGTAAATTTATTTTATTTATTTCTTATTTTTTAAAATACTTATTTATTTATTTTAGTTGTAGTTGGACACAATACCTTTATTTATTTTTATGTGGTGCTGAGGATCAAACCCAGGGCCTAGCAAGAGCTAGGCAAGCGCTCTACCGCTGAGCCACAACCCAGCACTTATTATTATTTTTTTATTGTGGTGCTGAGAATCAAACCCAGTGCTTTCACATGCTAGGCAAGCACTCTACCACTGAGCCAAAACCCCAGCCCTGCATGATTTTTCTCAAAGCTTACCAACACTGTCCTCCAGGTGATGCTGGTAGAATAGAGAACATCAATCATTACAGGTAGGCAATATTAAGTGACCATTTAAATTACAAAGGCAGCATGAACAAGTTAGAAGATTCATGGTAGAAAGTAATTTGTTAATAACACCAATATTCTTAGTTTGATGCTTCAGATGTCCTGAAACCAAGAGATAGAAGTTTCAAGGTCAGAGTAGTGCCTAGATCCATCCTCCCTACTTTACTTACCTGCTTCTTCCACTGCCCTAAAAAAAGCCCACATAAATCCAGAAGAATCTAGCATTCACTCTTCCCAAAAGCTTTAGTTAAGATTTGTATTAACAACATAAGGACTTAGTGCTCTAATAACATTAAGAATTTAATCTACAAATGCCAATTTAACAGGCAAAATGTAAGAAACCATTCTCCACTGATCAATTTAGATGGCAAAACAATATTTAACATAAGAAACAGGCATATTGACCAAAAAAAAAAAAAAATCTTATTTTAAAGGAGTTACCTTGAAGGAATGGTTTATTATAAATCTGATGACAGCTTGGACTGAATTTTCAAAACTGCATGGCTTTTCTAACTTATCAATTATTTCAGATATGAATTATTAATTCCCAATACACTGAAGGGTTCATTAGTTTGCAAAATGCTACCTTAATGCCTCAGAGAACATATGTGGACAAAAATAGCAAGTTATGGAGAAGTATTTTTCAAGTCTGATTATGAAGACCAGAAAGGCAGTCCCCCCCCCGCCGCCCCCGCCCTTGGCTCAAATTAAATTTTGTTCTGGTAATATTCCCTCCATTTTTTCCTTATTTCTCATCTCAAGTTGCCTCAAGTTTCTGATAGCTCCACAAAGTACTTTCTAGCCATTTTTTCTTAACCTTAATTCAACTTCAAATTCTATCCTTCTTTCTAAAACATCATTCCCAAAGGGCTCCTCCTAAACCTGCAGCCTTCAAATCCCATTCCCAGGCTATGCATGGACCTCCCCAATATGTTGAGAAGCTTCAGTTTACACATTCCAATTATAAGTTCTCAGTTACTGGGGAAAAGAGGCACACATAGTGTGACTTGCTGAGGTGGAAAGAGGTAGATTTTTCCCAAAGAGAACTGTTTTAGGACCCCTTCCAAGGAAATGCATGCATACACTCAGTCATTTAAGATTTACAAATTCATATTTTTATTTTTTCCTCAACCAGGTCCTTAAGAATTTAAAGTTCAAGCCCTTAACTTAGACTATCCCCTACTTCAGAGAAAAAAAATTCCCATCTATCCACAAAGGCACACCAGTGTTGAAATGAGGATCCCAATTTGTTAACAAATGGGCCTTGGTGTGTTGCTGGCTTCCAAACACACCTTGGTTAGATGTATAACAAGGACACCCTATGTAAGATAACCCAACTATTACCTGGATAATCCTAAATATTGGTCTCAACTACATTTCATCTGATATTATTTTCAAAAGCCTTAAAATGAGATTTTCAAATTAGTCTAACATTTGGGGATGTCTCTGAGTTGTAGTTTTTTTTTTTAGAAATCACTTCAAAAAGCTAGCCAAAAGACAATGAGCTATAATCCAGTGCAGTCACTATCAAACTTAAAAGCCACCTAAAAATTGCCCAAAAGCTGGCCAAAATGCAGATGTCTCCCAGAATTTTTGAATTTTGCGGTTTAAGGTGGAGACCTGAGAGGCTAAATATTGGACCATATAGCAAGTTGGTGGCCACCGGTTGTAATTCTACCACTGAGTGACCTTGACACAGAAGTAATGTTCACTTAGTGAAAAGCTAAGATAATATGAACAGAGACAAGACCAATGAGATGGTAACCAGAATTCAAAGTCTCAGAAACGCAGGTGGTGTCTAATCCACGGAATGTGCTAGGGCGTGGCTGGTCACGACTCCTTCACAGGAAATCCAGCTGCAGAATCTACAAGGGTCTTGGGAATGCAAAGACACAAGCTTTCATCTCACCCAGAAGTAGTCACGTTTCAGTTTAATCTCCAGGCAGATGGTGCAACAGTGAACCTGGGGCTATAATGAGGCTACACACCCTCCGTCCCACAGCCCTCACCCACGCCTAGACTGCAGGAGCAGGGTCTTCAAACACAAAGCCAGACCCCAAGCATGAGAAGGCAGGGGAAGAGCAATTCGAGCAAGCTAAACAAACTCATCGGAATTACACAGGTTTCAAGTCCTGGCAGAGAAAAATCAGGAGAGACAGCGCGCCACTCACTAGGTGATTCTTTATTACAAGTTGGTGAATGGTGGAAGGATAGAGAGTGTAAGGCTAGCGAGCCCCCAAGTCCCAGAGAACAGTCTAGAAGCAGAATATGGCTCCCGCGTGTTTCCTTGGATAACCCTTCCCCCGCAACTGTTAGCATGCAACGCCCCCCCCCACCCCCGGCCGCTCATTCTGGCGGGGCTGCAAGGGCGATCCGGAACGGCTGCCCCCGCCCCCCGAGACCCCACCCCGGCCAAGTCCTCAGGAAATGGCGGGGAGCAAGGCGGGCGCGGGAAGCGCGAGCTGTGGGTGGCCGCGCCCAGCTGGGTCGCCCCGGGCCAGTCCAAAAGGGAGACGCTGCCCGCTGCCCCATCCCTTCCCCATGCTAGGATGCCCCGGCCAACCGCCCGGGATCGCGGCGCGCTCACCGCCTTCATGGCGGAGGCCATGTCGTCGTAGCGCTCCGCCTGTTCGGCCAGCCGCGCCCGCTGCAGCAGCTGCTCCCGGTCCCCCATGTCGCTCTAGGCCCGGCCTCGCCTCGCGCCCCACACCGCTCGATCGCCCGCCCGTCCGCTCCCCGGTCGCCGCGGAGGCCGCCGGCGCGCACGCGCACTGGTTCCCCGGCTTGCCAGAGGCTGCAGGCTGCAGGCTGCAGGCAGCGCCGCCGCTCGCGCCCTCTCTCTGGCTCGCTCCGCGCGCAGTGGCTGGCGCCCCGGACGCCGCCAAGAGAGGAGAAGCGGCCGCCTGGTGGGGGATGGGTGGACGGAACGACGCCTGCGCAGTGGGAGAGGCCGGGCCAAGCGGCGAGAGTGGGAGGGGGGAAGGGCGGGCCAGCCCTAACGGTCTATTTCAAGGTGACGTCACCTACTATAAATAGCTGCCGCCACCGCCCCGCTAGAGACCTGCGCACGCGCCCTGAGAGTACTGCATTTTACCGCCGCAGAGGTGGAGGTGGGAGAGAGTAGAACCGGGGTGGAGACTGCAGAGCACTAGGAGGGACCGCGGTGATGGCGGCGGCACAGGCAGTGCATTGTCACAGCCCCACCCTGAGAAGTGCCCTTGACTCCACATTAGAGACCTGGCTTGAGAAGGGCCCCCAAACCAAATAAACGGCGAAGCTGAGAGGCAGCTTGCCCCAAAGGGCGGGTTGAGTCCTCCCCTGCTATCCTTCCCGCCAGAGCCCAGCGAGGCTGTTCTCAGGGCCACACCCTGTGATTGGGTCTGCCCTGGCAATGACAGCATCCGACAGGACCTTTGAGTATACACACACACACACACACACACAAACAAACAAAAGCACCTCTCTGGTTGCAGAAGTGAGAAGTGGTGGCCTTGGGCCACTGTTCCTTCTGTGAGGAGGAGGGATTGGGTGACCTGGTTGAGATGAAAAACATTCACAACACACCAACCAGGAGCAGGCCCAATGCTGCACCCCGAGTAAGCACAACTGTATTGAAAGGGATGATACAAAGCAAAGGAAAATGCTCAAGGTTACAAGGCTAAATTAAAACTCGGGGCTTCCTCTTGTGGCAAAGAGGAGTCTCTCTCTCTCTCTCTCTCTCTCTCTAGTTGTAGTTGGACATAATACCTTTATTTTATTTGTTTATTTTTATATGGTGCTGAGGATTGAACCCAGCACGTGCTAGACGAGCAAGCGCTCTACCAGTGAGCCACAACCCCAGCCCTAGAGGAGTCTCTTAACTGCTCACCATACTCCTCCCAGTCCTAGCATTTGATGTTGTGGGTCCCTGGGCTGAACCTCTGACAAACTAGGAAAATCCCAGTGATAAAGACAGCACATCTGAAATACAGTATGCCAAAGACAGCACAAGAGACAGGGCCTTGGGCTTGCTGGGAATTTTATTGAGCAACTACTGCATGCTCATCATGATTAAGTAAGATAACAGCTTCAGCTCCTGAGAAGCTGAGATCTAAATATAAAAGAGAAGGATACATGAGTCAGAAAATGATACTAGGGTGTGGGTTCAGCATGGACAGTTAGGATAGGAAAAAAAAAATGTTGGCAAAGATGAGAACACAGGCCTAACTGTGGGAAAGGAGGTTGGATAAAATGAGATTATGGAGTGTTTAAAATGCTGGCTGAAGAGTCAAAGCTTTATCCTTAGGTAATTGGGAACCACTAAAACCATATTTCAGGCCAGGAATTTTTCTCTGAAGAGTAAGATGCATTAGAAAGGAGAAGGGAAAACTGGAAACTGCGTTTTCCAGACCTCAGTTTTGCCATCTGGGAAACTGGACTTGAACTGTTGAAAGTATAATAGCCTAGAAATCCACATCTTGGATGTCAGAGCCTGCGAGACCCTTAGATTTACTTTTGTCAAACTGCTTATCCTGCATAAGGGAGAACTGAGCTCTGAAGAGAAGGATGGCTGACCCTATTTGTGCAGTTGGTGATCAGAGCTGGGACCTCCATACCAGGTCTCTTGCTTCCCAGTCTTTCTTCTCCCTTCTGTGATGCTAAAATGGGGACCTTTCTACCCATGAAGCTGGATTTGAGTGAGGCCCTCACCCCAGCCTTCACCATGCTTTGAAGAGTCACCTTTGCTGGTGGAATCAAGGTTAACAAACCAGGCTGATTTTCCCCCTAATGAATATCTTATAAAAATGTGAAAGGTAGTAATTAATCACCCACCCCCTCCATAAAGATGGGGTTCATGTGAGAGCTGGGAAGAGGACCAGCACAGCAAGGGGAAAACTCCTGGGTTTCTTTTAGCTCTTAGAAGGCTTACAGCCCTTCAAGCTTTTCAGACCATTTTTTGGACAGAAATTGATGTCCAAATAGTGAAAATAAGGTAGAGCTGGAACATTCTGAATAATTGATCTTGACATATGATATGATTTATTATTTGGTATTTTTGTTAGCAATGCTGGGGATTGAATGATGGGCCTCAGGCCAGCTAGGCAAGTGTTCTATAACTGAGCTATGTCACCAACCCTTAAAATTTTTTATTTTGAGATAAGGTTTTTCTAAATTTCCCAGGTTGACCTCAAACTTGCAATCCTCCTGAGTAACTTGGACTACAGGCGTGCCCCACCATGCTGGGCATGTGCTGCAATTTGAACATATCCTCTGAAAAGCATGTGCTGGAAGCTTAATCCCCAGCACAACAGTATTGTGAAGTGGGTCCTAAGGGGATTAAAGACAGTTATAAAAGGACTGTAGGATACTATCTTGAGCCCAGTTTTTTTTTTTTCTCTTTCATTTTCTGCTATGGAATGACAAGAGGTCAAGTAGATGCCTGATGATGCCGGGCCTTTGGGGTTCCCAGCCTTCAGAATTATGGGGCAAATAAGTTTCTTTTCTATATAAATTTCCTAAGGCATTCGGTTATAGCAGCATGAAATGGCTAAGAAATGGCATAAATGATACTTTGATTCTCTCACAAAGCTTTTCTTCTCATCAAACTTCTTCACCTCCCATTCATTCCTAACAGCCTAGTATAATCAGGCTCTGCCCCACTTTTCCACCTAGACAGCTCCCCATGGCCACCAGAGGCCTCCTTGTTGTCAAATCCAAAGATACTTCACAGTGCTTATCTCTCTGCCCTCTTGTCTGTGATAAGGCAACTGTCTATCCCTCCTTGTCTAGCTCTTCTGTTAGTCTTTATGACCCTGAAATCCTCTTGGCTCCTTTTTGCTGCTCTTCTTTTGTCTTCTGTATGGACTTATTTTCTAGCCTATCCCTAAGTGATGATATTCCTCGGGGTTCTGTTCCAGGCCCTGTTTGCTTCATCCTGGGTATACTTGCTTACTCTTGAGGGGCAGTGATCCTTTACCATGTTTCCAGGATCACGTGAGTTACTTTGCAAAGATGGAGATTTGTTTTTCTTCTTTTCAAGACATCCCTGTTAAGATAGTTACAATTTCCATTTCCACTTTCTAGATGAGGAAACTGGTTCTATGGCTTCAACAAAGTCATACAACTGGGAATTGGCAGAGCCAGGACTCAAACTCTGGTCCTTCAGAGTTCCAAGCCTGATGACCATCATGCTGCCCCATGGTATGAGAAGGTTTCAAGGTATGGTTCCCCTTTCAGAGTCATTCTGATTGTAAAATTCTCCCATCTTCCTTGCCCTAGGAAGAGAACTGCCAACTCTTCAAAGCCTTATGAAGACAGACTAGGATGCTATAAGTAGTCACATCAATAAATATAACTTTTTCCCCCTCCCATACTGAGGATTGAACCCAGGGGATCTTTACTACTGAGTTACATCCTTCAGCTCTTTTTATTTTTTTGAGACAGGGTCTTACTAAGTTGCTGAGGCTGACCTCAAACTATAATCCTCCTGCTTCAGCCTCCTGAGTCACTAGGATGACAAGCATGCATCACAACATGAGCTTGGAACAACTCCAAGAGAGCCCCTGAGTAAGATGGGGGGGGGGTGATGATTAACATCAAAATATGCAAGGACCAGGTCTGTGTCTTCACCTAGTATAGGGTCTCAGTGAACCAAGCAAAAACCCACCTGGCTTCATGAGGATGTGTGTGTTATGATGGGGGAAAAGAACATGATTCTAGACTTGGGTTCAAATTCTGATCTGCCAGTTTACCAGCTAAGTACCTTTGGACAAGTCACTTGTAAAACAAGTCTAACCACACCTGTTTCTTAGTGTTGCTGTAAGGATCAGCATATGCATGTATGTTTAGTATCTGCATAGTGCTGGAATAGGAAAAGCACCATCCCTCACAGTTGTATAATAATTCCTTGCTGCATTCCACCCTTACCCAGTGGGAATGACTGCTCCTCATGTAGGACTAAATTTCCAAAGTATTGTCAAAATCCTCCACTGGAGTTCAATGAAGAGGTGACCTAGAAAAGGTATGTCCTGTTTTTTTTTCCTTCCTCTCAGACACTTTGAGCTGCCCAAGAAATCTGGACACCAAGGGACATGTTACAAAGAAGACTTGGTATTGTTCCAGAGAGATGGCATTCGCACTGTTGGCATTGTTACCATCTTGAGCTGGAGGGGCTGCTGCACACAAAAATTGGTGTCACCCAGAAAAGATTTTAAATTCTGTTCCCCAAAGTAGGGCTGCCTGTTACTAAGGTGACTTTACTGATTCCCCAGCCAGTGATAACACCATCAACAATAGCATCAAGAGCAGCTCTTGTTTATTAATCATTTACTCTCTTCCTGAGTTTACCCCCGGAAATTATCTCATCAAATCCCCACTTGGAGGGATGTTCTTACCTCCAATGTATGGATGAAGAAATTGAGAGCTATAAGAAGAGTATTGGCAGTCACCTGAACCTCCCTCCCTCACATCTATTTTCTGCCATTTGCTTTGACCCCGGTGTTCTTTTGCTGATATCAAATCCTTCTCCTTGTGTCTAAGATTGGCCTAAGCACATGGAATTCAGGATCATCCAGGTCCTCCTGTCACTCTTTCAAAGCCTGCCATGGAAGACCACCCCCACCCAAGGCAGCTTTTTGCATTAAGAAGTGAGAAAATGTCCTGGTAGTTGCAATCTGTGAGCTGGTTCTTTGAGCCCG